AGTGGGACTGGGGTTTGAACTCAGGGCTTCACACTTGCAAAGCAAGTACTCTACCACTTAAACCACACCTCCAGTTCTTGTATCTTATTTAAGTGGATTCATTTATGTATGTTTTTTTCTATTGTTTCTCTGCATAGTGGGGGTGTTGGGAGACTTGGTTGGATTCATCTCTGCTCTCCCACTAATGAACTATGTGACAGGGAGTTAGTCACAACTTCCCTGAACCTCATCTATTCCACCTTAATAGGGTTCTTGTGACAGCACAGGAAACATGATGATACAATATATGAATGTAAGTTAATGCTGAAAACATTTGAACTAAGGTGCTTCTGCCTTTTACATCCTACTTAGTGAATGGTTCTAAGTAAGAAACAGCAATCACTGCTGCCTGTTTCATATTCGCATCTTCAGCAAGGGTTAACAGATTTGGAAAAATAACACTGCACAGCTTTTAATGATGGTACCAGATGAGGACAGTCTATATGTAGTCCTCGGAAACTACCAGTTGAGTCCAGGCTTGCTCACTTTTAAAGCTTCAATCTTTCTAAATGTATCTTCATTTAAATGATCTGTATCAAGGCTGTGAAAAAAGAAAAGAATCTTGCATAAAGTCAAGCCAAAAGATGTCTGCAGTACCTTTCTTATTCTTAAGGATAAGGTTCCCTTTCATACTTGCTCTGTGGCACCACTCAGTTACTTCATCCATTCAATTATCTAACTCCTCCTACAGCATTTCCTTGAGTCTCAAAGGATAAAATGGTTAACTTCCTCTTGGACTCTCATTCCTGTCGCTCCCTGCCTCATCCAAGGCCCAGCTCCATTATTCCATCAGTTTTCACTCCTATAGCTCTCCCTCTCTATGGGTTCCTTTCTCTCACTCTACAAATGTATCTACCTCATTAAAACAAGGTAAAAAAATTAGCAGCTCTCTCCAGTGTCACAACTCCCTCCAGCTATGACTTTACATCTCTTCTTTTAACAAACTTCTTGAAAAAGTAACCTCTGCTCTCTTCCTCCAGTTTATCTTCTACCTCTTCAAAACATTGCAAAAAGGTTTCTAGCCTCACCATGCCACTAAATCAACCCTTGCCAAGGCCACTTAAAACTTAATCGCTAAATCCAATGGATACTTTTCAGTACTTATCCTGCTGGATCTCTGCTGCATTTGATTCTCTTGATCATTTTTTCTTTGAAATTCGCTTTTCTCATAGCTTCCAGGACATGATTCTCTCCTTATTCTCTCCATGGGTTTTCATTTTCATATCCTCCCTTGCCTTAAAAGTTTGTGTTGCCTGTGGTTTGTTTCCCAGACTGATTCCTCAGAGGTTTTTCTCTTCTCATTCTTCCTAACAGACTTTATCCACTGTCACAACTTCAGCCATCATCTCCACATAGGTGATCACTTCCAAGGGCACACTCCTATATCCAACTGCATACCTACTGGAAAGCTTTCCCTGAGTGTTCCTCAGGCACTTCAAACTCAATATGTGAATCTATGACTACAAAAGAAATGTACAAGCTCTTCCAAGTATACAGTACAGTACAGTTTTTATTTGTTGATGGATAAAAACTAATCTCTACCTAGCAAAGTAGAAAGGAATGTTTGTTAGTTATATAACGTAAGTGCAATTTAATACCATAGAAGTTTAACAAAATCTTTAGAAATTTTTGAGTGACTTAACAAAAGACACCTTCCCTCCTGGTATGTAAAAGTCACTACTGAGGAGGTGGGTCAATTTTCTTGGGAAAACCAGAAGTCTTCAGAGAATTAAGAGATCAGTTATTCTCAACTACTTATTTCTAAATTTAGAACTGGGAACATGCCTCAGGATAAGCTAGGGAGTCTCATGCAAGGTCCAGTGCCTTGGAAAGGCACCAAGACCCCCTAAAATAAAATTACCTTAAAGAAAAAGGAAGGCTTAAGTGGCATCCTAAGCTCAACTTAAGGGCCCTTGTGGGTAAAGGCAGGCTTCAGCATATATATATATATACTCTACACCTGACTACCCGGACAAATGGTGCCTTACAGAACAATGACTACACTTTATGTGTAGACTAATATATCTGTAACCTTGAAGTATAATCATAATGTCACTACAGGGCTAGCAGGGATCCTGGTAGGGATCCTACCCATGACATCACTGTCCAGTCACCAAGCTTCTTTCTGTTGTACTATGTAGGATCAGTTCTCAAGTTCAGTAGCATCAAGAAGCAGCAACAGTAGATTGATTTTCCATCTAGCTCTGGAAACAAAACTGGTCCCATCTTTGGGGCCAGTATTGAGAAAGTGGGCTAAGGAAAGGCCTCAAAATCTACTACTACTGAGAACATGACAGAAAGAGATGACTGAATTTATACTCAGAATTCTGCTAGCAGGTCTTAGTTATCACACATGGTATAAGAGATCCTGACTACCTCCCCAGTCTTATTTGATATTTATTGATACACTCTGCTTTGTACTTTATGCTCCAAGAATACCAAACTTCCTGGAGATTTCCCACTCCTATCTCCATTAAGTACCATAATCATGCTGTTTATCACCTGGGTACCTTTGCTCATGTTATCTCCTAAGCCTGGACTACACTTCCACAGCTACCTACTCTCTTATTCTCTGACTACAGTCCAATCAACTGAGGTGGCCCTTCCTCCAAGAAGCTTTCCCTGACCCCCTCAGGCTAGGTTAGTTGTATACTGCCATGTCTCCATAAATACCTTGGAATTGATCATTTCACTACCTCATTCAGTTTTCATATCTTCTTTATTCTTGTTTACACAGCACCTGAACATCTGCCTGGCACATACAACATATTCAGTAAATACTTGTGGAATGACTGAAGGAGAACTTTGTCACTTTGAGGACACAACTTCTTCTTTTCCCTTGACCTTTGGAATGTCTAGACACCTAGTTTTTATTGAAAATGTAGTTAACTGTTTTTTTCTTTTTTTGCCTTTCCCCTAGATATTCTAAATTACTAAATGGTCTCCTCTATGTATTTCCTAGCAATGTACCAGGAAGCTTACAGGGGAAAATATAGTGAGGAATAAGATTCAGACCCTGAACTTAAGCAACTCTTAGAAAATAACCTTCTTCCAGCCTTTGCAATTTCCAGAGACCACTACTCCTTCTAGGAGGTTCTCCTGGACTGATTCCTCTCCAACTAACAACATTAAATAATGCATATCTTCCTCTCATTTTACTTGGGTAAGTATATATCTCTGTTAGATACATTCTAATACTCAAAATGTATTTAAACTCAGCAAATTGTCCCCACTCTGTATGTGTGCTTTATTTTGCATTTGATGTTATTATTGCACATTGCTATCAACTTACTCATTGACAAATTATATGGGTTTGAAGGTTGGTATGAAAATACACCAGATAAGAGACAAAGCATAAGAGAAATGGTAAATAGTGCACAATTTACAATAAAAAACAAATTATGATAGGCCATCCCCAACAAAATAATTTCTTCTTGCTGTTATTTAGAATTGTTACTGCACCATACATGCTGTGGGGTGCACCAATGTTAAAGTACTCTACATTTAAAGAAAACATTAAAGCTAATAGTTGAGTATATTTCAACTTTCTTGCCAATAAAGTCTATATCCACTTCTTTCTGACAAAGACATCATTGAGGTCCATCCCCTGAGGCTTTCATATTGTACATAATCCCCTCTGCTTGGGCAGTAATCACCACAGTCTTGAGTTTCTGAAACTAATAGACTTCACTTTGCTAGTAAAGAACCAGTTTCTGTTTTAGCCAGACTTGTAATCAGGCCTTTATGCTGTTTTCATTTATGCTCCAACCTATCGAATTGGTTTTGGAAGGCAGAATTTTAGTTCTGAATGCCAGAAACAAATGGCCATTTGGCCACTAGTTGTCAACACAGAAAAGTTGTATTTTTTTTTATTTTTTATTATTCATTTGTTCACATGTGCATACATTGCTTGGGTCATTTCTCCCTCCTGCCCCCACCCCCACCCTCTCCCCGCTCCCCCCTCCAGTTCAGTTGAAGAGTAGAAATAAGGAATAATAAGAGAGACACAGCATTTTTGCTAGTTGAGATAAGGACAGCTATACAGAGAGATTCCTAGCATTGCTTTCATGTACAAATGTGTTACAACCCAGGTTGACTCATCTCTAACTGATCTTTACACTGGTTCCTGATCCCCTTCTTGTATTGACCTCCGTCACTTTAAGGTTTCTGTATTAATTCCTCTGGAGTTGGGACATCAAATGCTTTCATGTTTTGGGTTTTCTATCTAACCCCGTACCTCCCGCATATGTTCTCCCCTTGTCATGTAACCCAAGTCCTGCAACATTGCTGTATTTGCCTAGATCTTAAGAATTACTTTGTATGTCATGCCAACCTGCTGATCTGACAGATGGACACTGATCAGAGAGGGTCAAGACCTCCACCTTCTGAAATTGTACCACTGTAGCTTCATCCCTTTGAGATTTGAAGACTCTCAAAATGTACATATTAAGTACTTTGGCAAATATGAGAAATAGAAATGGTAAGTGCCTAATATTTATAGAGTACCTCCTAAGTGCTAAGAGTTTTACTGAGTACATTCACAATTGCTGTCTTAATTCAATCCCCATGTTAACTTCAGAAAGTAGTCATGCACTAGCATTATCCCTGTTTTACAGACAAGAATACTGAACTTCAGGGAGATTAAGAAAGCATGGTAACATAGCTAGCAGATATTAGACTTATGACTTGAGCCACATCCAACAAAATCTAGAACCTATACAGTTTTTCTTGTACCATGCCATCTTCCTTAGCAATGAGATGCAGGCTGCCTGTTCCTTGCCTCTCCCCCTACCTCTGTATCAAAGGAGGAAGGGTCTACTGGTGATTTCACTTACTTTACTATTTTGCCTGGGCTTGGCCTACCCTCAGCTTTTCTTCTCTTTCTTCACTATGATGGGCTATGAACAAACCCAACATGCCCATCATGAACCTCTCCTTCCCACTTCCCCCATGAAAGTAACTTACTGTAATGTTTGAAGTTTACATATTGGATGAATCAGTGCATCACACAGCATTTGCACTCCAAAATCCTTGAAGTTATTTACACTTAAGTCTAGTAATATTAGGTTCTCATTTCTGGTAAGGACAGAGGCAAGAGCTCCACAGCTTGCATCTGTGAGATGACATTCTGCTACCCTGTCAGGAATCAAAGATTTAAGAAAGAAAGCACTTTTATCCCAAGTTTTCTAGTGATTCTTGATTTTATATACAGTCTAGAACAGAAGACCACTACAAAAAGAGTCCCCATGCACTTACCACAAGGTATGGAGTTTGCAAGAGGGGTGCTTTAGCCCTTCACACAGGATTTGCATGCCCTCATCCCCTAAGGCATTGTCACTGAGGTCAAGTTCTCTCAGGTGTTCATTAGTGCAGAGTGCATTGCACAAATCCTGACAACATGCCCCTGTGAGATGACAGGTCCACAACCTGCCAGTAAGTAATGCAGAGAAGGCTGACATCATTTCATCTGTATTGGGTCACTTTAGGTATTGTGTTTACCCGTAAGAAAAATCCATTAGAAAATCAGAGTGTCATGTTAAAAACTACCTTGTGTCAGGGCTAGATAAGCAGAGATTGTGGAGAAAGGATGATTTATTCCCTCTAAATTATTTGATTCTTCATTTATTGCTTCATTGGAGAGTCAATCACCAGCCCCCCTCCCGACAAAAAATATTTATTTAATTTTAGGAATTGCTGAAACATTAGGAAACTCTGCCTGTGGCTATAGTCCATGATACTCACGCCAGATTCTTTAACTGACAGTCAGGCTGTTTTAATCCTTCGCACAGTAATTTTACACCCAAATCTTCAATTTTGTTATTAATTAGAAGCAATCTTGTCAGGCTCTGGGTGGACCTCAAGACCTGGGCAAGGGGCTCACAACAAGCTGCAGAAAGGGAACATTCGGAAAGCCTGGAGGGATGGAGAGAGACATCAAGGTGGCTAACTATGGCAGCAGGGAGTCCCACTGACCCCCAAATGCCAAGGCCATGAGAACTACATGGATCAGCACACACTTACACAAGATTCTCAATTACACCCTTCACATGCAGCAGACCTTCGCAGAGATGCTGTACTCCTGTATCCCCCAAGACATTGCCATACACAAACAGTTCTTTTATAGTCTGACTCACTTGCAGGAAAGAAGAGAGCTCCACACAGCTACCATCTGTGAGACAACAATTGCTCAAGCTACCCAGAGGAAAAAAAAAGAAAAATCAGCCACTGCCATCATTTTGGCTTCCTGGGACTGCTCTACCAGCCTCCCCGCTGCCTCCTTTGAATTCCAGTTCCTGCCCCACCTCCTTCACAGAACCTCCTCTTAAGGTTTCCAACCCACAGTGACCTCTTCTTTTTCCCTGGGCTCATCTAATATTTCTAAATGATTCCACAGCATTGCGTATATATCTGTGCATCCTTAAGGATAGCTCTGTCATTTGAAGAATTTCTAATAATTTCATCCACATCTAGTCCTACAGTTACTATGGATACATTATAGGTATTCTTTTTTTTATATGTATAAAGCTCTTTTTTCTTTTTTAATTTTTCATTATATTCTTGTTGAACTGAGGGTACACTGTGACATTTACAAAAATTCTTACAATATATCATAGTTGAATTCACCCCCTCCATAATTCTTTTATCCCCCTTCTCCCCTCATTCCTGGAACAGTTTCAACATGTCTCATTTTTCCATTTTCATACATGGGTACATACTATTTTCACCATATTCTCCCTCCTATACTACTTCCTTATATCCTCCCCTCTATAGGTATTCTTTATATATTTATATATACTTGTGTGTAATCCTATACACACAAAGCTGGGCTATACTAGAAATAATAGGAGATTTGGACACAGAATTTGGAGTCACATCCTGACCCTTAGCTGTGTGATGTTAGACAAGCCACATTTCCCCAATCCTCAGTTTCTTCATTTGTACAATAGAGATAAGAAACCCTACCTATATGATTATTGTAAGGAGTGAATAAAGTGAGATAACTTCTGGCAAGCACCAAGCACATAGCAGGAACTCAACAAGTTCAACGATTGTTAGATGATGCCAGATACTTCTGAAAAACTTACTCTAGTTTCTCCACTTTACAGTTGGAATGTCTGAGACCCTCACAAAGATACTTCACCCCGTTGTCTCCCAGGGGATTTTCACTCAGATCCAACTCAGTGAGGTATGGGTTGCAAATGAGAACAGAGGCAAGACACTGGCAAACAGCCTCTGAGCTTTCTGGGAGAAGACTAGCACACAACCTGTAGGAAAAGATGCAGAGGCAGATTGCTCACTTTAGTATGCAACTCATTTCCTACCCACAATTCCGCATGAGTACAGAAAAATCAAGATCCACAGATATAAGACTCCAGTCTTGAGTATGTCACAGTTCCCTATCCCCCATGGCAAGGACCTGTGAAATGCTTCCTAAACAATGTATCCCACAGTAGGAACTCAAAAAATGTTGGTTGACTGAGAAAAGGGTTGGGAGGAAATATTGATAATCTAATCTCATTTTAATTTTTTTTTGGAGGCACCCAGGTTTGAACTCAATAATCTCACTTTAAATCTTTGTGTCCACTATTCTTTGCCATCCTTAGAGAAACCCAATGTATCACCATCATTCACATAGTATCCCTTCATTGGTATGCAGAGTGTTTTTTACTGATTTTTGTTTTCTCAGTCTACGTTTCTACATATTAAGTGGTCAAATTCTTTAAACCATTTTCCATCAACTTTTTCCTCCATCAGTTTCAAGAATTTCTAGATATATACCACAAATGAATCTTCTATCTCTTCTTTATGTGCCATGTTCTAAACTCAGTTTTTAAGAGTGAATGGTTCAAAAGGAGATGTATTTATATCTTCTGAATTTAGAAACTTTAAATAGAGATAATTTGAATAGAATGAGTTCTCAGTGTGAATTTTAGAAGTTTAAATGCTAAAAAGCTTTGCTTTTTGGAAAAAAAAACCCACATAGATATTGTGATGAAAACTTTTCTGTGTCAACTTGGCTAGGCCATAGGACCCAGATATTTGGCCAAACATTCTAGATGTTTCTGTGAAGTTATGTTTTAGACAAGGGCAGGATTTTTAATTAATAGACTTTGAATAAAGTAATGTGGGTGGGCCTTGTCAAATCAGGTGAAGTTCTTAATAGGAAAAGACTGACCTCTTCCTCTTTCATATACATATACATATATGAAGGCAGCATAATGAAACCCACCAAAGGGGGTGAGGGAGGGGGTTTGAGGGAACATAACAGAGAGGGTGAACTTGTTCAAACTATATCATACACATCTATGGCAATATCACAATGAAACCTCCTTGTACTATTAATGTATGCTAATAAAAATAGTACAAAAAAGAAAAACTTCTCTTCTTAAGCTTGTTACATAGAGACTGACATTTTTATTTTTCCTTTCTGATTCCTTGAAATGTGTTTTGATCACCCAACACCCATCTTGAATTGTATTTTTTGAAAATTCTTGCAGAATGAAAACTACCAGTTACAACTTACTTGAGCTTCTGTAATTTGCAATATGGACCTTTTAAGCCTTCACACAGCAATTGCAAAGCTGAAGCTTCCAGTTTGGTTTCATTAAATTCAAGTTCAGTGAGGCTTTGATTGGTGCTAAGAACAGCAGCTAGCACCCCACAAGAAGCAGGAGAAATAAGGCACCGGTACAACCTTTAGAGAAGAGAACAATAACCTAATTATCTTATTCATACCCCTGCACAGAAACAGAAATTGGCCAAAAAATGATACCAATACAAACAACAAATTACGTTACCCAAATGTCTGCAACATACAGTTTCTGTGTTGTAATCCTTCACACAAACACTTCATTCCTGTATCTTCCAGAGTACTTCTTACAAATTCCAAATCTGTCAGATACTGGTTGGTTTCAAATACTGAAGAGAGGTCCCTACCACAAGAAGCTCTGAGGTGGCAGAAAAGCAGTCTGCATGAAGAAAAAGACATTTCAGAAAAGAAATGCACCTTACTGATGTAATGAATTTTATCAACTTAATTAATAATTACTTGCTCAAAACACAGAGAAACTTTAGACACAAACAACGCCCTAATGAATGCCCAGTTAAGGGGGCAGAAGATCAGCAAATCATAAAACAATACAGTGTAAAAGTACAAGGAAGTATGTACGAGGTATTAAGAGGATTAAAAAGGTGGCAAAATTCAGCCTAACTGAAAGTGGGGTTTGGAGGATCAAGAAATACTTCTAAGAGGAAGGAATGCTTGAGCACTTCTATAAGGGGAATAGAAACTGAATCAGAATTACGTGGATGGAAGTAGTGAAAGGAGGGGCTGAGAGAACCCATAACGATGGAGCACCCTGTGCAAAGGTCAGGAAGCAAAGAGAAGATGGCTCATTTGAAAATCTACAAATTGCTGGGGGTGAAAGTGTAAGGCCCTGAGTTCAAACCCCAGGACCACCAAAAAAAAAAAAAGAAGAAGAAGAAGAAGAAGAAAACCACAAGTTATTTGCTGTGGCCTATTTTCAAAGACCAGAAGACCATATCCCAAACAATTAACAATGATTCTCTCTCAGGTTAGGGAAAGGGTGGAGGTGGGATCATGGAAAGATATGTACCTTCTAAATACTTAAGAACGACTTACGGTGACCAGATGTTATTGGCTAAAAGGATTAATTTTGAAAAAACATAGTATATACTTAACATAAATATTTTTACAAGATAAAAACTTACAGCTTTTTAAAGAAAAAGTCTATATTCCTACTGCCCAAAGAAAATCACTATTAAAATGTTGGCATATGGGCTGGAGATGTGGCTCAAGCAGTAGAGCACCTACCTTGTAAGCATGAATCCCTGAGTTCAAACCCAGTACCACCAAAAATGTTGGTATATAATTTTCCATATCTTTAATGCATGCATACATAGCTATATGCTCTTTTTGACAAATAAAATCAGAGAAAGATATATTTTTAAAAGTTAACCAGTTTTTCCTAACTTCCCATCCAACTCCACTTCCCAGAAATAATGTTAAGAGTGTAGTGTATATCCTTCTCCACTTCAGTTCTCTGAATTATAGAAAAAATATATGTATATATATGCTTTATACATTTTATAGAAATGGGATCAGAAAAAATTTCCTCAACTTCACATGTTCTTTTGTCATTTGGTCTTCATCATAGGCCCACAGACTGAAACTAAAATTCAGTTATAGCACAAGGCCATATAAGTGGTTTATCCTATAAAGCCATTGAAGGTTTTAAGGGACATGATCAGATTCTTCTAATGTCAGGGTAGGTTAGAGACCAAGATGTCAGAGAGCTGTAGTAGACAGAAGAAATGACAGAAGCCTGACTAGGAAAGGGGCTCACCACTGAATGGATTTATAATACATTTGGGGGTTGGAAGTGGCTATTATTTATTACCACTGAGAGTGACTGTAGAGCCCTCTGTGGCCAATGGGGGTGGAATTGTTCCCTAACTCCACCTCTTCCTTCAGGGGTAACTGGAAGCCACTGAAAGGTTGGAACTGTTTCTTGTTCTGGAACATTCTATCTCCAGGAGGGGTTTCACACTGGCTTGGGACAAACCATTACAATGGGGGTGGGACTTTTTGGACTAGTTTACAAGAGGTTTGTTTTCTTGGTTCTTGGTCTCTTTAACCCGTACTGTGTTTTCACAGTTTTGAGAGTTTTCAACGATGTGGGTGAGGTTGCTTACTTCACTTCCTGAGAGGGGGAGCTAAGTTACTCTATTGCCCTGCCACCCCCACAGTCTCTGGCAGTTGGAACAGCCCCAGAGGTAAAAAGCTCCCGAATTCGCATCTTTTCCTTTCTCCCCCGGAGCCCTCGGAGGGAGAGTGGCCCATCTCTCTCTTGAGGCGTGCTTGGTGGCTTTGGCGGGCCTGTACCTCCACTGGTCCCTCGCTGGTGAGGTGAGGCATGGTGGCATGGTGGGAGGTGTCCTGGGGCAGGACAGGACGGGCAGGGAGTGGTTACGAGGGGTGGGGATGGCCAGGGTGAGGGCAAGGGGGCAGGAGAAGACTGAGAAGAGGGGACGGGCGAAGGGTGAGGCCGGGATGACTGGTGGACCCCTTCTCCCAGGGCCAGAGCTGAAGCCGCCAAGTCCCTCAGCCGTCATGGCCATGAAACCCGAGAACCCCGGTAGTGGGTTTCGCCATAGCAACGTCTTGGCCTTCATCAACGAGCGGATGGCCAGGCACGCCACAGGCCCCCAGTTCTATCTTGAAAATCTGACTTTGTCCTGGGAAGAGGTGGAAGACAAATTCAGGGCCATCTTGGAGGACCACGAGATGCCCAGCGAAGCCCTGGAGGCCTGTGCCTGGAGCAGCCTGGCCCTGGGCGTGCGCTTCGCCCGCCGGCAGAGCCACCTACAGAGGCACAGGGTGCAGTGGCTGCACGACTTTGCCAGGCTGCACAAGTCGGCTGCACACACCTTGGCCTCCGACCTGAAACAGCTCTCCGAGCAGCAAGAGATGGAGCGCAAGGAGGCCGCCTTCCAGCTGAGGCTGGCTCGGACCAAACTGACCGAGGTGCAGAGAGAGCGGGACCTGCTGAGATGGAAGCTCCTCCAAGCAGTAAGCTGTCCCCTGCCCACTGCCCACCCCTCACCCCAACCCTATGCCCGTGCCCCACTCTCCTGCACCCCAGAATAGTCTCAGCCTACTCACTTCTTCCCAGGAGCTGAGAGCCCTCCCAGTTGCAGAGGGGCCAGGCCGGTCTACCGCCACAGCTGGAGGCGCAGGAATGGAGACACAAGGAGCAGGTGACAAGGAGAAGATGGCAGATATAGTAGCTACTGCTACAGGACGCGGAGGAAGAGTAGAAGAGACCCATGTAGCTGAGGTGGCTGCCCCCTGGGATGCCCCACAAGAGCAGGAAAAAAGCTTCCTGCAGCTTCTGGGAGTTGAGGAGTGGAATTATCCCTTGGGCAGGAATAGGGAGGGAGATCTCACATCTGCTGAAATGGCCACCTTTTCTCTCCCTGGTATCCAGAATCCCAGGCCCATAATCTCCCCTGACCCCTTCACTGTTCAACTCCCCGCCTCATTCAGTTACTGCTATGAAAGCCCCTTCCCAGTTAGGACCACCCAATCCCCACCACCAACTGTGAGCAAACCACCTGTTCTACCTACAATGCTTTCCTACTGTGTACCTTCTGAAATTAGTCTGCTCTCTGATATGGGGGCCCCAGGAGTAGACCTTCAAGAAACCCAGAGGGACAGGAGAGAATCTGAACTCCAGCAGCAGAGAAAAGCTACAGTGTTTCGCAGGCCCGGGGACTGGGACTGTCCTTGGTGTAAAGCAGTGAATTTTTCACGGAGGGAAAACTGCTTCTGCTGTGGGAGGGGACTCTGGCTGCAAAGCCCTTAGTGTATCTATCAATGCCAAATAGAACAAGCATACTGCAAAGGGACATTGATTTTCACATGTTTGGGGAGGTGGGGTTCTGGGTGGAGTGGGAGGAAGGTGGGGGGAGGTGGGAAAGGTATGAATGGTAGGGGGAAGACATGTTTTGATGACTCCTTTTGGATTCCACAGCATTAGCATTCAACACCCCAGAACTGCTCCAGCTTCTGTGTGTGCACATGTGTGTGTGTGTGTGTGTCCGTCCATCACAGTGTCTGGCAAACCTGGAGAGCCATGCATATAAAACCCCACCCACTCCCCTACCTAGGCCTTAGCTTATCAAAGCAGGAGTGGTCATTGGACCCATCCTGAACCAAATGGACTCTTGGGCTAGAGGATCTGAGGAGAAGCAGATCTAAATCAGGATGGGGTTGGGCAATGAAGCAGTGAGTCACTTGGAGTTGGGGTCCTGGCCCTGGCTGTGGAGGAATAGAATCCAGTGCTTTTTAAAACCTTATACACCAGTATGAGGTAGGTTCCAGGTAGCAGAGAAACAAGTACAGATGTATTGACCAGGTGACCCCAGAGAGCTTGAGAGTGATACCAGCTCAACTACTTTTCACTTCTGCGAGCATGCAGAGATCCACTTTACTCAGATGCCCTTTTCTTTAAGCTAACTTGAGTGGGTTCCTCTTCTGGGCAACAAGATCATTTCCAAGCCAGAAATTGGTACTAGGAGAGCAATTTCAAACAATAGGCCAAAGAAAATATTGGAAGTGGCTGGGGAGCTGCATCAGGGTTGGGCAAACAGTAGGGATGGGAAAGGAGGCTCATGTTTCTGGGGGAGTTATATCACAAGAAACTAAACAGGCCTGGGGGAAAAACCCCAGGTTTATTAACATGAAAGAAATTTGCCACCCCTAAGGGAATCCTGTAGGGCTGTGCACAGAGGATGCCAGCACCAAGGAAGGACTGCTGTGATTATACAGCCTCATGACAGGGGAATCCTCCCCTGTCCCCAGTGGGCAGAACCAGTGACAGATACGAACAGGGAATGCATGTCACTGCCAAGGTGAGTCAACAACTGATAAGTGTTCAAAGGGTTTGCAGATCTAGACACTGGACCAAAGGATGGTCCCGTTTTGTTCAGTTCTCTCCTCCAACCCAGCACCATACTAAATGTGGGAGGAGAGTCTAGCTATAAGTCTCTCAGTGAATTCAGAAGTAGGAAATACAGGGACATATCCCAATGGAAAATCAACTTTGGGAGAAACGGAGAAATACAGGAGTGGGTGGAATAAGGGCAGGTGGGAGATGGGTCTGCTTATCCTCCTCTAATGACTATAAGCTATGTTGACGGAAACTAAATGTGATTGAAGGGTAGGAAGGAAATGTACTGAGACCAAAATGAAATAATAGGAGAAGTCCTGGACATCACCTAGGGAATATGGACCTAGAGAAGGGGAAGCTGTTGTAGCCCTGGGACACTTGCAGTGACAGAGATATGACTTTGGGTTGTGTCTTGTTGGGGAGGGTATGGACAATCACCATCAGGATTGGTGGCTGAATCCCCAGCATGTACTTTTCAGAAATATCTTTGGGCTTGTTTATCTCTCTCTAAAAGGGTTTCCTAACCTCTGTATACTTGATGTTTGGAGTAGAAAAATTCTTTGTTGCCAGAGGCTGTCCAATGCATTGTAGAATATTTAGCACAGTCCCTACCCTCTACTCACTAGGTGCCAGTGGTACCCACTTCCCAACCCCTCACTTATGACAACCAAAAATGCCACATGGATACTGCCACATGACTACTAGAGGGCATAATCATCCCCAATTGGGAACCACAGTGGTCTGACCGTGGGATGAATCAAAAGAGGTCACTGAGGCTGAAGGGCCGTATGTGATAGGAGAAAAATATCCAGTGGGTCTGACATTTACTTTGGATCTTCAAGCAAATTCAGGGCCATGGCAGAATAGAACCCAAACTTCTAGGACTGAGAAGTGAGGGGAAGTAAGGAAGTGGAGTCCTTGTGGGGTACCTCTTCAAGGACTCTTGGCTGTGAAGGGCAGGAGTAAAGTGAGATACATGGTTGAGCAGTATCTTGAACACAGAAGAAACTTGAGCCATGGAGAAGGAGACAACAGAAGAAAACTTGAAGACATGAGAAATATGTGAAAGAATAAGATCTTATTAGAAACAAGACTATTAAAAACATGGCTATTAAATTTTTAAAATCATATGACGGTCATTTTTGTTTTGTGTAAAACAAAACCACCAAGTGCTATAAGCATAGCTATTATATGATGTATGTGTGTGATGTGTGTTTGTCTTATGTTACAAATTTATATTTGAGCACAAATAGGAAAAGATCTGTGAAGGCAGTTTGCAAACAAGGTATTACCTAGGCAGGGTGGACAGGAGTGGGGAGTGGGGGTGGAATACAGGGAAGTTGGGTGAAGAGCTTTTATTTATTTATATACTTCAGTGTGTTACAAAAGTAAAATAAATGTCCATAAAAATACCAAAAAGGAAATGAATTTACTCATTTGGGTGGGTTTGGAAAGGCCATTTCGTCCTCTGGAGTGGGAGGGGGAAAAACATCAAACACTGATGTGTGTGGCAAAGTGGTGGGAAGCCAAGGGGGCCCCTGCTTGTATATTATTTGTGATATGGTCAAAGAACCTGAAACTGAGCGAGGACAAAGGGCAAAGCAGGGGTAGGGGCTTCTTCAGGCATTTTGAGGAATAACTATGGGAGTAGAGGAGGATAAATGGAAAGAAGAGCATGACCAGGCTGCATAGAGTAGGATAGGAGCCAACTGAAAGAAAACTCAGAGGGTGGACAGTGGGAATCTGGTAGAGGAAGACGGATTTCTCTTCTAGGGTACCAGACAAGTCTTTCAGGTTATTATAACCTGCCACCCACTCATTACAGCAGAAATGGTACATACTAAGGAGAAAGGCAGGAGGGCTGCACGGAGATCTGCGATTGACTCCTCTCTTCCCCTTCTAGGCTTATAGCATCTTTTTGTTTTCTGTTCTAGTGTGACAAGCTGAGCACTAGTTATACTTCGTTTTCAGGTTCAGTCAACTGGGAATGCACGTTCTAGCAGCCAGTCTTTATCTTCAATACCTCAGAGTTTAAAGCAAAGTTCAAGTTACCTCAGATCTTTAATTTTACAGTATGGATTATGCAGTGCTTGGCAGAGCAAGTGTAGCTGGGACACTGGCAGATTGTGCATCTGAGAGGACCTAAAAGAGATGAGAAAATAGAAACAGTTAAAGCAAAGCTAAGTAAAAGGCATGTTTTAGCGTTTTTGCATGTTAATACTAATTTACCTCTTAAAACTAAGAGGTATTATCCCATTTGCAGATAAGGCAATTAAGGCATAAAAAGTTAAATAAGTTGCTGAAGGTCACATAGGTTATAGAGCTAAGGTTATCACCCAAGTCTGACTCCAAAGCCATGCTATTGTGTGCCAGGCACCAAGGTAAGTAAGCACTTATCTCACCCTTGACCTAATGACAAGTACTGCAATCACTATTTTACAGATGGTCTGAGAAGTCATGTGATTTGCCCAACCAACCTTTACTATAATATATTCTTGGTTGTCAGCACTAATAGAATTAATAACAGTACTTGAAAACCAGGAAAGTTCAATGATAAACTCTCAGCCACCATGCTTTGGAAAGGATTATTTTGGATTAAATTACTAGCCAGTGTTTAAACTCTCTTATAAAGGAAGTAAGAGTTAGAGGTGGATATTCCATCTAAAGATGGCTTTCTAGAAACTCAGAATGAGTAAGAAACCCCCTTTGTTTTCATCACTGTTTTAAATCTCTCAAATGTATTAGTCTGTTATTTTGCATTATACAGTTGAATTTAAGCTGTCATTAACTCATAGAGACCACATTATAGCCAAGGTCCTCCATAAATCAGATTCCAGTTAACCTCTCATACCCCTTCCTGTCTAGTTCCAAATATAAACTCTTGCTGTTCTTCCTTTCCCCTCCCCATTTCCCTTAAACACCATGGTCAGGGCCCCTTGAACACCCCATGTTCATTTACACCTCTAAGCTGTTGCCCACTGAGGAAATACAACTATAAGACATATAACTTGGTTAACACATTCCTCAAGTACAGCCTTTTGCTCAGTGTCCTTTTGACATCAGGGTCTCGTGCTTGCTAAGCAAGTGCTCTACCACTTGAACTATGCTCTCAAGCCCTTTTTATTTTGTTTCTGATACAGGGTCTCAATAAGTTTGCTCGGGCTATACTTGAACTCACAATTTTCCTGACTTTTCCTCAAGAGGAGCTGAGATTACAGGCATACACTACCACAATCAGCTTCACTCTCCTTTTCAAGGTCTGCCACCACTCAGCTGGCTGGACAACTAAGGGAGAGGCATTGCCCATCTTAACTCAAATATTAAGAATAGATAGTTAGGGCTGGTTAAGTGGCTCAAGTGGTAGAGCACCTGCCTAGTAAATACAAGGCCCTGACCTCAAACCCTGGTACCACCAAAAAACCAACAGATAGGAATAAGCCTTATTGGCTGCTTTAATCAGTAAGTCAGTAGAACTGAATTTTATTGTATAGAGTCCTCTTTGAACTTCAGGCTTGACCCTCCTCTGTGAAGTTCTGTGGGAAGATCCCAGGCTTAATAGCAAAATATAGAGAAGTGAAGCTCTGACATTTACTAACCTGGAGCTCTTTGAGGCCTCAGGGATGACATATACATAAAGGAGAGTGACAGTCAATCTGCTATTAGGTTTATAACCTTTTCCAGAATGGTCATCTATACCAAAACAGCAGAATCCTCAATGACAATCTCAATGCTTTAAAATTCTCATAACACTTTATAAAGAACATCCACAGAGTGACAACAAAGACTAATATACACACACACACACACACACACACTCTTACGTGGCTAGTACAGTGCCTGGTATATAATAAGTGCCCAAAAATGTTAGCTTCCCTCAGGATCTACCTAGGCCACTGTTTAGTGTATGGTAATCA